TATTTTTCAAATAAAATAATTTTCTATATAAAAAAGGTAATTTAATTAAAATTTTACACAAACATGGCGAATTTAAAAAAAAAAAAAAATTTTTGACATTTATTCTAGTTAGCAGAGAGAAAGATTTTCACAGGGAAATGTTGCGTATGAGAGAAAGAGATTGGCTAAGAACTTTGCTCATGTGGAAAATGAATTCTCCGCTCCTCTTGGAATAAAACGAAAACCTTTATCAAAGATTATTTTCTCTGATATATAACAAATTTCATTTTACACTTGAAATTTTTTTTTTAATTTTAATATTACTTTAAAGAAAATTTTATTTTAAGATGAACTTGGAATTAAATTAGTTTCGAAATGAAACTGTTCTTAAGGGTGCTTAGCCATTATAATAACCTCAAACTAAAAATTTGTTTTTTACAATAAATTAAATTAAAAAAAAATAAATTAAAAAATTTGAAAATGCTTTTAATACAATTTTGAAATACTTTTATAAAAATTTTTTTTTCCGTGTCGTAAATTATTTTATAAAAATTAAAAAGAATATTGCTTTAATTAATATTTATTAATTTTGAATTATTTTCTGGTAAATATTCGATCATTATTTGATTAACTTGGTATTTTGAATTATTTAAATACGTATATCTCGAATTGACGCGTATTTATATCTAATAAAACATATCAATATCTTGTATATTTTATATGCCTTACCACATTTTGCATTTAATCACATCGAGTGATTCTCATGTAATAACAAGAATATAACACTGGGGCAAACGCTGTAACCGTTCACAACAACCAAAATTGATCTGCCACTTTGACGAACCGACAATGAAACCATCATGAACGATGTAAATCCACAGAGGATTTGTACATTGAACACGAATGTGTAATTGAAAAGTACATAGTTGATTGATGACATGAGACATATGAAAAAATTGTCCACAAAATGTTTTTTTTTATTAATTAATAAAAAAATGCTTTTGACAATTTGTTATACCTAAAAAATTAACTTTTTTTTGCAAATAGTTCCAATTGTACAAAAGAAAATCATTTCATTCATTTTAAAGATTAAATAATTAAATCCCATTATGTAGCAAACGTAAGGGTAATTTTTTTTAGTTTCTCTCAAAAAAATAACCTGTGAAATAAATGAACATTTATGAAAAATTAAAGTAAATTAAAAGTTATCCTTTTATCTCTATAGAGTTTTTAAACTCTTTTTTTACAGTTATTTTTCTCGAGAAAATTTATGGAAACTTTTGACGAAAAGCGACTTTAAGTAAAAGAAAGTTTTCAGCCTTCATAGGGGCTCTAAACCATAAGTCGCTTTTGTTGGTCAACTTGAAAAGTTTACGGGTTATAATTGGGTAAATGCTAAAAAAAATTGTCAAAAAATTTTTTTATTAAAGTCTTTATTAAAAAAACTGTTTTGATAACTTCGCTTCGGATAAAATTTCTCTTTTGAATCAATTTTTATTTCAAACAAAAAAAAAAATTTCCAGTTTTTATACACAAACAGAAATAATTAAAAATTACAATGTTAATTTTTATTCAACGAAAGAAAATTTTTTTTCAATCAGAAAAGCAGAGAGAAAATTTTTTTTGATGTGAAAACAAATTGTTTTCTTCAGAAAAGTTTATATTTTAAACACTGAAAAAATAAAAAGAAACGTTTTATATATTTTTCAACGGCCATTATTATCAGAGCACATCCGGTATTTGAATAGCGCCCTCTTGCTTGAGAATAGATACGTGAGCTGCGTCATTAAAATTTAAAAAGAGAAAAAAAAGAGTTTAAAAAAAAAAGGTTTTCCTTCACAATTGTCGCATCGTAAGCCGAGTTTAATTTACCACGAAGAGAGGAAAATCTCGCGTTCTTATATAGGGTGTCTTTGCATAATGGCTGACTCTTCATTGAGATCTACTACTGAAAACTGTAGGATGTCGATGAAACCACTTCCTGCTCGTACTTAATGTTCCTACAAATGTTGTCTTCTTCTTCTTCTTCTGACATGTCTATTTAACTTTCGTATCCATAAAATTTTTCTGACTTTCACAAAATTAAAATCTTTTATTTTGTTCGTTAAAATTCACGTTTTATTGGAATTTAGTGTGATTATATAGCCGATGAGATTTATCTCAAATGATGATTTTAATAGTTATGATTTATTATTATTATTTATGCCAAGTCAGATTTATGTCAAATGAGGGTTTTAACAATTAAGATTTATGAATATAAAATTACGTTTCTAATCTTTTTGTCGAATATTTATTCGGTCATTTGTAATTATAATTACAAATTAATATTTGTCGAATTTGAAATTTCTGTCATTTAAAAATTCAAATCACATAAAATTTGATTGAATGAGAATTATGTCAAATTAAAATTCTTAAAAAAAGTCATGTAAAGAAAATGACAGTAAAATAAAAATTCTGCTAAACAAAAATTCAGTAGCTAAAAATTTTGTTATGTGAAAATTCATATAAAAAGAAAATCTGTAAGATTTTAATTCAAAATTGTAAACTCGTCTAAAAAATAATTATTTCTAATAAAATACTTTCAAATAAAAATTCTAATTAATGATTTTTATGGGAAATAATCTCTTTAGTAATCTCTTTACTAATTTGACAATTTACCGTTGTCTTTTCTGTTAAAAACTTTTCTTTTTTTGTCCCAAGTATATAAATTGTTGAAAATCGATAACAATAATTTTTAATTAAAATAGATGAGTATTCCTGGTTTGGCTACCTGTCTTAATTATGTACACAATTTGCGCGCAGTGTCATTCGATTCCGTGGCACATTAGGAGAGGACTCAGTAGCATCCGTTCACATATTTTGAAAAAAAGAATATTGCAAATAAAATGGAAAAACTCTTTGACGGTGGGAAATAAACCGTGCGCAATGTAGATGCAATAACAGTATATCTTCTGATACATTTATTCTGTTTTTGTATTTTTTTTTGTCTGTCTTTTTTGCATCCATTTTTTTTCCATTGGTCTGTCTACTAGCGTAATATTAGTCACTGTTGCGGTACTTGGTATATGTACTTTGTGATCTATTCACATTTGACATATGATAGATTGATGTTTACATTAAAAAATTTTTATCATTATTACTTAAATGCGCGTCGTGAGAGTGAAAAAATTTACCTCAATTTTAATATATTGTGTGATTTTGTGCACACATTATGCAAACACAAATAATCCATCAATTTATGCCTCTTAAAATATTATATGTAAATAATTTTTAATATACTAGAGATAAATATATAGTTGATTAACCAAAAAGGTGAAAATTTCGAAATATCGTTAGTAATTTTATTGATGATGTGTTTGACGCGTGTAAATTCATTGCGTTAATTGGATTAGTGTGGAGAAGGAAAATTTTCTCGACTAATTATCCAAACTCGACATATATGTGAAAATGAAGAATTTCCTATTTTAATCCAAAAGCTATTTTAATTGAGAGAGAGAGAGAGATTTTTAATTTAAAGAGATAATTCAAGTATTCCTCATTACTATTATTTCATTTTAATTAAAATTATTAGTAGTTTAATTTAGAAGCGTGATTTAATCCAATTAATTGATAATTATACTTGTATAGTTTTTTTTAGAAAAATATTAAAAATAAAAAATAACTTTTTTTCACGGGGTGGAAAAAATATAGTGAGTTAATATTTCTATATATCGCTCGTAAAAAGAAATATATTGGCAGCATTTCACGTTTCCTTTTTCATGGATTTGTTTCCGGTAAAAAATAAATCTTAGATCTGTTCAAGTTTCATTCACATGGATTGGACCAACTTCTTGGAATCACGAAAAATGTTTTTTCGCTGACCAATTTTTTTTTTTTATGTACTGATCTCATGGGAAACTGAACTTTTATGGAGAACTTTTTAAATTTTTAATGTGCCAATATTTTCTTTTTTTCTACTTTTATCTAAATCTTGTTTCCTATGATATTTATGTACCCAATTTTTTTACATATTTATGTTTTTCATCTTGTTTACAGTTTTTTAAACTTTTGATTGTCGTTTAGAATTTAAGTTTACAATTCGTTAAACGTTTCATACGATTTGCACGTGGCGCTTATGTATTTAAAGTATTAAATACATACTACGAAAGCATGTTTCTCAAACCTTTTAAGCATGGACACCAATCATACTAATAACGCATGAATTCTTACTAATATTATTAGAATTTATCTACTATAATAGCATGGAAAAGATTCATGCGTTAAACGTATGCCTTATCATGCTATAAAAGCTAGAGTTTTCTATCCGAAAAAAATGAAAAAAATCCGAAATTTGTTTCACCATTTTCTTTCGCTATTTCTAGAATTTCAATATTAGAAAAAGCATATTTTTCGGAAGATGTAAAACTTTTTCAATGATACGCCAGAGACCTTTTGGTTGATAGTTATAAAGAACTGGAGCAATTTGAGATTAAATTAGAGTATAAAAAGGAGTTCGAATAGGAAAGTTTCTTCAACACTTATTTTCTGATTTCATGCTTTTATTTCTTTTTTTTAAAGAAGAGGGTTGGGTTAGTTAAAATGAAGAGAGTTGGAATACTTTCTTCTTCTTCTTCTTCATCTTCTTAAGTAATCTGAGGTGTCTATCAGTAACCATCCCCCTTTCTATTTTGTCCCTCGAAACTTCTCTATCAGTTTCCAAGTATATCCTCGAGTTTCAGGATTCTTTCCGACAGGTTGCTCCTTGGATATCGAACACACTGACCTCCTGTTCCACTTGTATATTTACACACTAAACATCACTATGTTGACAACACATTGCGCTACTCTTTCTTTCCTCAACTTTTATCAACACACAACGGTCTGGTGTACCATCAAGTAGATTGAATGAATGAGAAGGTTTCATTGCGCCGATGTAGATCCTCTCTCTCTCTCTCTTTCTCTCATCACGTCTATCGTCGCGACGGAGGGCCGAACTAACGTCGACCAACCAGGACCATTTCAAACGACAGAGTGCTCTCAGACTTCTCCGCGTTCACATCTATTTGATATTTGCTTTTTTTTTTAAAACTGCACTAAATTAAAAATAAAAATTAACGAAATAGTAAATTGAAATTTTTTGAAAAAAAAAATCAGTTTCTATATTTAAACAGATAAAAAATATTTCTGAGATTTTAAAAAACTTTTTCTGTTTGGTGAAGAAAAAAAAACGATTGAGTAAAAAAAACGAATAGTTGGTGTTTATAGGTTATTCGATAGTATTTAATAACAGTGTTAGTGTTTTTTTTTTAAATTAGATTTTAAGATTGAACAAAATTTTGTTTTTCAAAAGTGGAAAATAAAATTTCTAAAATTGTTCACAAAAAGTAATAGTGAAAATTTACAAAAGGAAGAGAATAATAATAAAGATAAAGAAGTTATGGTTTTGAATAAATGAAAGAAACAAGAATATAAAGATAAGAAGAAACAATTAAAGAAAGAGGAACGTACTTCAGTAAATGAATCCCAGAAGTCAAGTTTCAAAAGATTCAAAACGAATGAAAAGAAGTAATTTGAAAAATTCAAGAAACTTTCTTGAATTAAAAATTTAAAAAATTCCTAAACAAAAATAAAATTAAGGAACAATATTTTGGCGAAATTTCTAGCCAATAAAAAATAATAAAAGGATTGAATGTTATTCTCGAAAATTGAAGTGTTGCGGCGACGCGAGTGTTGCGCGTGCGGACGTTAAGATTGAAATTGAATAGTCCACACAAGAGGGAGGAAGAGAGAGAGATCTGCTGAAGAGACCTCCAGATTGGATGCTCGAGTGACCCGTGCAATAGTAGTGAGAGAAATTGAACGTTCAAGTTATAATAATAACGTACATGCGGGTTCCATTAAAAGAAGAAAACGGTTTTTATCGGTCTGTTATGTTGAGATAATAGTTAAAGGGAATTATTTCGATAAGACGATTTCTTTGAGAAAAGTGCTTGCGACAAGAAAAAAAAAGAATAAGTGATTTCGATCTAGAATCGAATTGATGCGACGATGAAGTTGTACAGGATCTTTTTTACACTCTTTTTGAGTATCACGTGCTGCTCTGCAAATTCATTAAATTTAATGAATAGAAATCATCATTTTTTGTGCCCTGAATTAAAATCACAGGATTCACTTGATTTTAAAGAGGTTCGTTTCATTTATTTATTTATTTGTTTACTTTATCAAGATCAATCTTATACTTAAGTAATTTTGTACATGATGGAGATTGATCATGATTCACATGTACAGAACAATTAATTAGAAGATCAGTTTAATTGAAGATCGTTCAATTTCAAAAGTTCAAGGGAGAAAATATAAACTGAGGAAATAAGTTTTGTGTGTAAGTGTGTTTGTGTGTGACCTTTCAGAGCTTTTGTGATTGATGATATATATATATATATATATATATATATATATATATATATATATATTTGAATTGAGAATGAGAGGAGCGTAATGTTTCAATTGACATAACGGTCACAATTATCTGTTAAGTTTCTGCTTTATTCTTTTTAATTTTCTTAACTGAAAAAAACGATTGGTATAATATTCTTTTCTTTTTAATATACAATGAATGCGGTATGAAAAATTTAATTTTACTAAAAATCGTTAATAAAATATTGATTTTGTTGTTGAATTTTTAACAGAGAAAAGATATATTTGTCTTAGAGCCAAATAAATATTTAGAATAAAACTCATTTTAAATCCCCTAATAGTAAAACTATTGAGGATTTTCTGTATTAGAAATTAATTAAAGGACTGACAATTAGTTATAAATAATAATAATTATTATTATTAATAGCTATTTTTCGAAGTTTTTTTTATTTATATTTTTTATTTCCTCTTTGAAAAAAATGTATGGTTAAAATAGAAACCAATTTAATCTATATTGCAAAATTTTCTATACTAATTATAATATTATTGACTTTTATAATTATTAATTATAATTATAATTAACTATAATTAGTTTTACAATTCTACCAATGAAATTTTAATGAGCGAGTTTATAAATCTCTCGAAACAAAGATTGACTATAATCTAATTATATTCATTTCCGGAATATTTGATATTTTCTTTAGAATGGTGATTTTTTTTGTGCTGTTTTAGAATTCTTTTTTAAATAATTTTGAAACTATTTTATTTTTATTTTATATAAAATCTAACACATATCATATTTACACATTGACAAAAATCCTAAAAAAATGTCAAAAAAAAATATTTCATATAACTTTTATTCAATCTCAAATAACAAATTTTTTCTCAATATTCTGAAAACTTTCAAACGCATCAAATTTTCAGTTCAATTCATAATGTTCTAAATTAATTTCAATTCAATTCAGTGTATAATATAAAGGAAATAAAAAACTAATGGAATAAAAATATATATTTCGCGCGATCATTCAAAATTCAAAATTTATTTTTATATTTTTATTTATTTTATTTTTCTGTAAAAATAAATAAATATAAAATAAATTTCCCCCTTAAAATAAAAAAAAATGGAAAAAGTAGTTTACATGAAATTTCCCCCTACAATAACTTTGCTACATTCGGAGTATTAATCTTTTGTCAAATAGACTGTCTTGAGACAATTACCTTAGGAGAATTAAAGGATGATGTTGAGGTTGAAGGGGCACTAAAAGAGAACTAATTCAGTCCTATCGAGAATTAAATTAGAGCCTTAGATTTCGACTTGGAATTCAGTTTCTCAGTGTATAAATTACAAATTCAATTAATGCATCCAATTTTACATCGTTTCATTAGTAAATTTTGTGATTTATTTAGATTTTGAGAGCATATCTATACTTTAATAAGTTAGAAAAGTAATCGAAAAAGTCAATTTTTATTGCACCAATGAAAAATCGTTCACACAGAATATTTCCTTTTTTTACCAGAAAAAAATCTTGATGAATCCGTAAACGAAATCCGGTATTATAAATCTGTATTTGAAAAAGTGTGTATGAGTTTCAATTTTTTTTTTTATCAGTTATGTGTAAATGGATATAGAAGTGTATATGTATATATATATATATATATATATCACGAACACAAACAAGAATCTGAAATTTTATGGTTATTGAGTTCAATAAGCACTAAAACCTACGGAGAGTTTACTGAAAATATCTAGAGATTGGATTTTTTTTCAGAGATGGCTCAATTACATTCTCGCTTTGAAGTAGATTTTAGCTTTGTAAAGTTCTCAAATTCAAAGTAGAATTCGTATATATAGGGGAGACCGAGGAGGAAAGTAACAAAAATCAGTTTTTTTATGCTAGCATTAAAGATATTTGTCGGATAAATTTGTCCAATATATTAAATGAAAGCTTGGACATTCACCTTTTAAATAAAATTTGAATTAAACATTTATAATAAATTGACAGTTCACAGTATAACTTTTACGCAAGCTCTTCATCTGTTACTTTCCTCCTCACCCCCGAGGAGGAAAGTAACAAGCTCCTAGGAGGAAAGTAACAGTATAAAATTATGTAAAATTCTTTAGACTAATGACTATTATTAATTAGAAATATTTTTATTAGGAACACATAAAAGTTTAAGTACACTTTATACTTATTTGGCACATATTTGGGACATATTTAGCACATATTTCGAACATTTTATGAATTTAGCTCATTTTTTTTCTTAAACATATTTTATGCTTACCTAGATCACAGGTTTTTCTTAAATAAATCTCTGTTATTCGTAAAATTAAATACGATTTGCTTCAATCATTAGTTAAAACATAGACAATATCGACAACTGGAGAAAAGTAGCGTGTTACTTTCCTCCTCGGTCGCTTTTTTCTTGTATGTCAACAAAAAAGTTAAAACTACACAAATGTTAAATTGTTTGTTTAAGCACAACTTAAAGACAGATAATAAGGCTACAAAATAACGAAAGGCACATTTTGAAAAACAATAAAATTAAAGAAATACGAGACTTTGAAAATTTGAACGAAAACTTACTTTTGACGTTTTTTCTTCACGTCACACCGGAATCAGACCTAACCTTTCCTGTCAGGCTCGGACACACTATGGAGGAGGAAGGGGGAACAGTGCCGACTAAAAATATGTTTGAACCATGTCTATCCGATAATTTGTTTAAAAGTTATAAGCTTTGTTACTTTCCTCCTCTGTTACTTTCCTCCTCGGTCTCCCCTATATTTAATTCGGTCGTTGATAATTAGATTCCTTCATGTACTTTCATTTAATTAAAAAAGATTCTAATTTTCTTTAGTATTTTTATTTTCTCTCAAGATATCGCAATTTTCTAACAAAATATATATAATTATATATTTTTCTTCTAAAATTTAAAAAATGACACTTTTTTTGGGGGGTAATAATTAAATAGTTTTTATGTTTGCAGTTCCTTTTTATTTGCAATGTAAAATTTTCATCATACGAGAAAACGAGAAAATCCCCGCCGAGAGATAATTAAATATAAGTGAACAGCCACAAGTGGGTAACAACTGAGGGTTACTCACTGTGTTGCAGGCTTGAATTCTATACATTTATTTGGTGTGTGTTTGAAACTAAAAATAAACATTTTTTTTTGATAAAATGAGAAAAATGAGAATAATATTTTTTTGCCATTGTACTTTGGATAACAATTTTTTTTCCATTGTACTTTAAACAAATTTTTTTTTTCTATTTAGATAAATTTTTTTTGTATACCTGTATCATGGGTATTTCGTCTTTTTAACATATAAAATTTCTTGGCAACTATATACTAGTATATATATATATATATATATATATATATTCATAAATTAAAACCTATGGAGCTTGCAAATTTTATCGAAATCTCTGCACTTTATTGTAAACGAAATTCGCGTATATATATAATATATACGACGACTAATTAACATACATTAAACGTGTATGTTTATTCATGAAATTTCATTTCACTTTAATAAACATTGAAGTGAAGTTATTTTAATTTAAAATCTTGCCTTTAGTATATTTAAAACAAAAATGAATGCAAATTAAAAAAATGATAAAATAAGTAATTTTTAATTTTGTTTCGTTTCAATAAAATAATGTCTGTGCAAATTGAAACATTCGTTATATTCTAGAGAAGAGAAATTAAACCAAAATTTATTAGTTTTATTATAAATATGATATTTTATATATAAAAGTGATTTATTTTATTAATATTTTTTATAAATAATATAAATAAATAAATATTAATTTAATATTAATAGGTACAATATATAAATATTAAAAGTATTTAATTTGCCCTCAAATAATGGTTTCATTTCTTTCTTCGCACGGAAACAAAAAATAGTTTGTGCTAATCACAAACCTGTTTGGATTTTTTACAAACTGCTTCATAACATAACCTATCTCTAACTAACGCTGTATTTTATTTTTTTTTATTATTATTATTTAATATCATTATTCATATTAATAAAATTTAAATATTTATGACGTCATTTATCGGTAAATAGATCTCGTAAAATCATTACCATCAAGTAATTATTTATAATTTCTCTATTCTGTTTTACATTTAATAAAAGCATTAATAAAAAAACAAATAAAATAAGTTTAGTACGGCTATTTTATATGTTCTAGAAGAAAAAAGAAATCGAAAGTAAAACACAGTTCTAATTAAGAAATTTTGAGGTTACGTTATGAAAGTAGTTTGTAATAAATCCAAATCGGTTTGTGAATAGCACAAATTATATTTTTTTCCTCGACCTTGTCATTAATATAAATTTGAAGACATATATAAGAAAGCGTGTGTTGTTAATGATAAGGATAAAATGAACGAAAGATGCGCGTCGAGAAATATATCCTTTGGCACTCTAGAAAAATGGGAAATGTGAGTTTTCCATGTGTTTTTCAAGTAGAAAATCCAACTTGTTTCAAACCGGTATTTGGGCACGATTAGCATAAGTCGAGTTTTAAATCCATGCACTGAATATAAAGCATCGGTTGCGCTTACTCTCTTCCTCTCTCTCACCGAGTTATGGGCAAGCTGTTGCGGCATTCAGCACGCTGCAATGACGTTAGGATGAAAATCCCCCTTTTGCAATTTATGATGGAAAGATCAAGCATCTGGAAATTTAGTTCTGACGCACTCACTTCAACTACCTTTCGTTTTAACCCTTTCATTATAAACATTTTCCTTAATCTTATATATATATATAT